AGAGAGAGAGAGAGAGAGAGAGAGAGAGAGAGAGAGAGAGAGAGAGAGAGAGAGAGAGATCTATTATGTTCTCCATCTGTTTCATATAACTTTCAGATAACATTTTTAATATTCGACGGAAATAGGACCTAGCTGTGTGGTAAATACCGTAAAACTAAAAGTAAACTTAACGAGGAAAGGAAGAAATAATATTATACTGAGACGGTAGCTGCACCCTGCCACAAGACTCGCTGAGTTCAGTGGGTGCTTCCCAGAAAGTTGAGAAAGTTCCAGAAAACTCTCAGGTCTGCTGGGTAGGGGCCAATAGATTGTAAAGTGCACAGCCTTGCGGTTGGGTAGTAAAGTGCGCTATAAATAAATGTTTAATGTTTCATGTTTCATGTTAAATGTTTAATGTTTCATGTTTCATGTTTAATGTTTCATGGTATTCATGGTTGGGTTTTTTTTTGGTAAGTGTTTTACGGCGCTCGCAACTACATAAGGTCATATTATGAGCGCGCGGGACACATTAAACTTTTTCAATTGGTAGGAAATTTAGAATTTTGCCCGGGTGGCGGCCGAAGCCTACTCTTATCGATTTTAGAACACCAAAATGCTATTCATGATAAAGAAGTCAGGGCCAAATCTACCAAGAGGTGGTCAGGTGTCACACAGACGTGGTACTGGCGAGCCGTTATAGGCAGATCCAATGTCTTTACAAACATTGACAGGGGGCTCTCGTGGCCTGCAGGTTAAGGTGTTTGCCTCTCATTCAAAGGTCCCGGGCTCGAATCCGGGTGGCGACGGAAAATTTTTCTTCTCTTTAATTGTCTCCTTTCACCTCATTTCATGCTCTCAATTTGTCTTACCTAAATCTAGAACAGTTGGGGCTAGATTTAAAAAACTTTTCTTCATGAATTTAGATCTAGACTCTATATAAAATACTTGAAATCTTTGTCACGCGTAAAATGGTATTGTTCACAGCACTTCACGATTCTCACACACATTTTGATTACGCATATGGCCTACGTCACAGCTCACCATTGACAATTTTTATTTGCAAAACTTGTTACAAGAAATTATTGTCATAATGAACACATTTTTTGCACTAATGGCTCTCAAAACATGTGTCAAGTAAGCATAATGTCCCGTTTAGAAAAGCTCGACGGACTTGCTATTAAAAGCTATATTGCCCCAGCTGTAAACATTACAAAATCTGTAAAATCCACCCTCTTGGATTCTTAAATTAGTATTTATTATGGAATTTTCTAGAATACAGCTTGCTGGTGTTTACAAAAATGTTGAGACAAATTGATACAAGTCACAGTGCAAAAATTGAAGAACCTATGTTCAATAGTTGAGGAGATATTTGGTAATAACTCACACCACGAATTTTTGACCGCACTATAGCTGGGTCTGGTCATTGTGGGTCCAGTGCGCACTGCACGTGAACGGAAGTCTCAATTTTGATATCATGGAAAACGAAATATGTCTTGACCACTGCATTGAAATGACAAACGGGAAAATCGTAAAAGGCCGATAGTGTCTTCTATTTTTCTAAAAAAAATTTTTGGTGAATGCAAGCACTTACTGAATTGATAGAAACTTAGCTTGGTCTTTGAACTACCTTCAGTAATTTTTTCCATAGTTCTACGTTCCGAAGTTTTTTCAGCCATCTACATGTACGAAATTATATATATATATATATGAAAGAAGGAGCCAGTGACCCTAGAGCGCCCACCAACCACCCTCCCAGCAAGCAATAGACGATTCTGTCGTCGATTAAACAGAAGAACAGCACGTGGGAACAAACGACATGACAAAAGACAGGGAAAGGGTGGGGGGTGGGGGGGCATTTCGCTGAGGGAGGCAGAGGTTAATGGCGAAGCAACGACTAATTTTTCTGAACACGAACCAGAGAGTTTCGATGTCGGGGGCTTCAAAGTCTCCCCTGAAAGCCTGTGTGAGAGCTTGTGAGAACACTGGCTGATACATTCATGGGTCCTTGCCGGCTTTCTCTTTATGGCTCGTGGGAGAATGAGAAATACAGGGTGTGGTGATTTGAGGTCGGTGACACATCAGTAGCTTCGTTTTAGCTCTCGTTTTAGTTAAAGTTTTAAGGCACTTGCAACACAATAAGGTCATATAAGTGCCCAAGATTAGAGGTGTTACAAGAGAGTAACA